GCATTTTCGGACTTAGCGGGAAGGATAAGCCCAGGTATGCCAAAAAAAGCTTTGTTTGGGATTTTGCCCGGACACTGCCTTTAATGTTTGACATTTCACTAGCGTATTGTTCCTACTGATTCAGTGATTTAAACGTTGCCACCTTTTTTGAAATTCAGTGAGAGTGCTTTCCAGAAAATGCATGTCATGAAAGGATTCGGGCGAGTGCTGTTGCGAGCACCACACGCTTTCGAGTGCTCATCGGCATTAGCAAGTTCTGCATCCTCAGCTAAAAGCGAGCCAACAGATTTGGTTCACATCGACCAGCATTTTCAATCTGTTCCCAAAGTCAAAAGAAATAAGGAAACCTTTCTCGCTGCCATAGGTAAGGTTCTTGCCACATGCTTGTTGTCACCCATTTGTTAAGATTTTTAGCTGCTTTCAAGGAGAGACGGCCGCGAGGGCATGTGGAGTTCATCAATACTGCTCTGAAGTACGTCAAGGAGTACAATATTCATAAGGATTTGGACGTTTATAAAGCTCTACTGGATGTCTTTCCCAAGGGCAAAATGATCCCTCAGAACACATTTCAGGTATGTTTGCTACTTGATGCTTAATCACTCTCCTTTTGAAGTGAACGTTTCAGAGGATATTCCTGCACTACCCCATGCAGCAGAATTGCTGTGTTAAAGTACTTGACGAGATGGAATGGAATGGTGTGTGGGTTTTAAGCCTTATATGGTACAAGCTCAGCATCTGTAGTTTGCGTGCTTCTTACAACAGCGTACCAGCTGTACTCCTTCAACAACGGAAATCCCTATTTAAGGTGTTCAACCGGACAAGGAGATACATGACATTGTTGTGAATGCTTTCGGCGAGTGGAACTTTGCCACGAAAAAGGTTTGCTGCATACGTTGTTCTCCATTAAAAAATTCTGCAGTCTTTTTTTACAGGTAAAAAGGATGCTTTATTGGATGCCCAAGTTGAAATATTCCAACAAGCACTTAGATCGTAGAAATGTTGAAGGTAAAAGCGTTTGATTTTTTCATCACTGTCGTGCCGAAATGAAATTTTCGTCTTTGAAAGTCTGTCAAATAAAATCAGGAACTGGCAGTATTGGTAGAGGGCACAACTCCAAGTAATTACAGGAAAAGCTCTTTCACCTCCGGAACTCGCAGGAATTGCTCTAAAAATGATGAGTAGAGATCCCGGTACGGAAATATCATTGACCAGAGTAAGTGACCGCTAAAATTTCTCCAGCACATTACATTACTTAGAAAGTGACTTGCTCTTTCCTTGCTAATCGTTGAGCGATATTTTAAGCTAGGTCCGTCTACAGCACAAGAGCAGCCATGGTTTGCAACTGCCCAAAGCCTGACGCAGAAAAATCTGATAAGGAATCTCAGTGAAGATACCGAGGTTACCATTAGTTAAACAGATTTTAAGCTTCCGAATTGCTTAAGGTTTCTTCTTATAGGTATTCGTGGATGGTCCTTTCAACGTATACGTGATGGAGCATGTAGTAAAATACATAGTGATGACTAGCGCGCCCACTTATCCCAAAACTGACGATTTCAAAGAGGAGAAGGTTCGTTTCTTTTTCCTGTAGGATGTTGTACTCCACCGTATTTTCTTTTTCAGTTTGAAGAGGACTTTTCGAATTGGTTTTCGGAATGGAAACGGGAAAGACATGAGCGGAAACGATCAGTTCATGAGCAGAAGAATGAGACGATTCTTGCGATGGGAGCGCTATACAAGTATGAACACACTTTGAACACCTCGCTAATATCTCTACAACTCTCGCATGAGTTTCAGAAGTGATAACGAGACAGCTTCACTGTGGCTAGAACGACTTGTGGAGGATAACGTAAATCTGAAGAAGCTTAAAACAAGACTGCGGCTTGACAGAGTGAGAGTGAAGAAACCCGAAAATACAAAGACATAGCCTGGTCTATAGCGATGATAGGAGTAAACTGCGTAGATAAATATTTTATTTCAAAAAAAGATTGCACAATGCACGACATTATAAACATCTTTGTACAAACAACATTACACTACATATATGCCATATATTATTAGTAATATAATACATTATTGTATAGATCAGACAGAAGCAACGGTTCGACCTTTGTTCTTTCCTTTTATTTCCTTGTAAGGTACTACGTATCTTTGCGGTATGGGTAGTGCTGGGGAGTAACCTGTACTGTAGGAAGGGTCTTCAAATGTTACCAGATAGTCGTCAGTGGCGACCTGTGGAACCCGTTGTACAACGCCTGGAATTTCAGATCATCGTCCAGGAATATTCACTCGATGCAATTTTCA